TATCCTTTCCTTGGAGCTCTTTATTGAGAATATATACATGGCTGGTCGAATCAACAAGAAATGCTAAATCTGTTATCCATGTATCATTACATAGTTTGCTAATGGTTTTATTTTTTTGCTTCATGAAAATTTTGATTTCGTTTATTAAATCCAAATATCATTTTAATACAGCTTCTTGACAACCCCATCCCCTCGTTAAAATAAATCATTTCTCCATACTCATTTTTAATTTCTTTAAGCAATACAACAAATTCCGCATGATTCAGAGGGCATACAAGGATAAAGTTTACTGTTTAATATCTGTTTCCATAAGCATAAACTATTTTCAAAATTATTGCACAAAGTGCTTTTTGATGAATGCACTCCCAAACAAACTGATTATGTTTGTTTTGCAGTGTATAATGCAAAATACACTCTGCAAATTTTCTTCTTTCACTATATTTCTTACTTTCATAGCTACTCCACGTTTTACGAATCATATCAGCTGCACCAGTACTTGCAAATCCAACTATTTTTTCCAATTGAATTTATATATCACTGGAGCTTAAATTGTACTGGCTCCGGTACTTCCTTGTTTTTGGATATAAATCATAATTCTAGACGGAGCATACTGCAGCCCTAAATGAGAAACCTCCAGCATTTCGTTTATGTAAATGAACAACAAATTCAGCAGAAGTTTGATCTCAAAAATTTTACTTTTAATAATAAAATTAAATGAAAATCGATTCTAACTTCTGAATGCATGCCTCTCTTTCCTTGGGAAACAAACTCTTGAAAAGGTCAAGTCTTGTAAGGAAAGAAAGCCTCCACCCATATATTAAAAGCCTATTCTTCAGAAAGTACAGTGAATTTATGACAACAGGTAAATTTTTTGTTTGAATGCTACATCTTCCCGTGGAAAAGTAGCACCTGCAAACTTTTTGGAAAAATGTAACCAAAGACGGGGAATGAAAATTGTCACTTGTTGCTTTTTTCTCACCTAACCCTCAGATTCAGATAAAATTTGTTTCCTTGTCATATTCTGTGTGACAGCTAGACTTATATTGAGAGCGGATCGTGGTCAGAAAATATTAGACTATTTTCTTTTTGTTTTTATACCTGTTTTTATACCTTTTTGTTTATAGATTAAAATATTCTGTACATTCCGTTACTTTTTATAGTATTCTCTCTAGTCTCATTAGCAAAGCATTAATTATTTTAATGTTTTTTATTGGTGCGCTAGAAAAAATATGGTCTTTAATTTCTATTATACCTTGCAGTAATACACTATATTCAGAGATAAATTTTCACCACAGACCGGTTGAGCTATTTCATTGTTTTTGTGTAAAATTTAAATTCCAGCTGGAATGCTAATTAAGTCAGGGTTCAGAATTTTATTTTTTATTTAACTATTTACCATTTATTTAATAATTGATTACATTTTTATTTACCTCATTATATTTGATTAGATTTTAATTAATTTTAGTTATTAAGTTATTCTAATCATTAATTATTTATTATATAAGTACAGTACAAAGCAGACGTCCATTATCCGGAATGATCTATAATCCGGACCTCAAAGCCCCAAACTTTTTTTGTATGCTTTATGCATGTGCATTTAATGTATAATGGACGGTATAAGCTAGGCTAAAATTATCTTTACAGATTCTAAGGCATTTCAGTTAATGTTGCAGATTATGCTGTTCCTTAATTTTCTAATTGGATCCAGTTTATTATTTTTTGCAAACTGTTTGATGTCCATCAAACAAAAAGTGGAATTGCTGCAAAAACTGGATAAAGGCATATCCATCTTAAAATTATGTGAGGTGTATGACATTGGAAAGTCAACTGTATGTGACTTAAGCAAAAAGAAAAAAGAACTTTTTGAATTTTTTGTGGATTCCGACACCCTACTTGCAATGAATAACAGAGAAAGGGTTCGTTATGCTAAAAGTGATGATCATGACAAAGTGATGACTGAATGGGTCAGACAGCATCGCAGCAAGGGCGTGCCATTGATGCGTCCAATGCTAATGGCTCAAACCAAAATATTTCATGAAGAAATAAACTTAAAAACTGAGTGCACATATTCGACAGGTTGGTAACCAAATTTAAAGATTGCCATGGTATAAGACAATTAAAAATTTCAGGTGAAAAAGCTTCAGCTGATACTGAAGCTGCTGAACAATTTGCAGATGAATTCATTGAACTCCTTACTAGTGAACAATTATCTCGAAAGCAAATTTACAAGGCTGATGAAACTGGTCTTTTCTGGCAATATGTACCGCAAAACACCTTAGCAACCTCTACAGAAAAGGCTCCAACTGGTGTCAAAGATTCCAAAGCAAGACTAACAATTTTAGCATGAGCAAATGCTGCAGGAATGCACAAGTGCAAACTTTTCGTAACTGGAAACCATGCACGACCTCAAGCATTTCCCCGTTATATATGGCGCAAATAAAAGAGCATGGATGACACAAGTGCTGATGAATGATTGGTTTGAAACTCATTTTATACCCGAGGCTCAGCGACATTTGAATTCGGTTGGTTTACCTGATGACTCAAAAATAGTCCTGATGTGGACAACTGATTGGTGCACACTTCACTTAAAGTTTTAGTGAAAGATAATGTATCCATATTATTCTTCCCTCCAAAATTGTACGTCTATCATTCAGCCTATGAATATGGGAATAGTGCACATGCTGAAATGCAACTATAAAGTAGCATTTTTTAAATCTATGTTAAATTTCTTGAACAATGGCAATACTATTTAAGACTTTTTGAAATTTTATAAATTTTGAAATTCATAAATTACGGTTTCATATTTTTGATTGTATAATTTATGCATGCCATCTTACAAGATTTAAATTGATGATCTATAATCCAGAATCGCCAAATCCGGATTACGGACCTTGTACTGTATTTTAATAATTAATTATTTAATTATTAATTATTTATTAGTCATTTAACTTATTTACAATTTATTCTTGATGCTTCCCGTTCTTTGACAGTTTTCCATAGCACTCCGCCACTTTTAATTTTAGAAATTAATCCCTGTTTATTACAGTTTTTATATCAGAAAAAATATTCTGTGCAACAGTTTTTCCTTTCATATGAATTATTTCTGTAATTTTTCCATTACTTCAAATTCATCAGGAACACCTCCTATGAAAATGGCAGCTATGTTATATCTGATCTCAGTACTCACATCAACTACTATTTAGAATACTGCAATATCTATATGTTTTTCATTCAACTGAAACATCACAACATAATAAATCAGTAGCAATTTCATTAATACAATCCACTGTGGTGTTGGCTGACAAATCAATATTTTTGAATAATCATGTTCATCAGAATAAAGAAACTCAATTTAATAAAAGAATCTTCAATGAATTCACCATCACTTAATGATTTTGATCTTTGTGATATGATGTGTGCGACAGTAAAACTTGCATGAACTGCTGCTTCACTGGATTTATTTTCTTCCATAAAAACATTTTGTTGTTGTTGTAAGCCACATTTTTTTAAAATTGGCTTTCTTCCCCAAACTTTTATACCATCAGTTTACCTTCCCAACATATAAAATTTTTCTATATGATTCGTATTGTAATTGCATTCTTTTAGAATTGATTTTCCCTTATTACAAATAAAACATAGAATTTTATTGAGTACACCATCACAAAAGTACAGAGTTTCTCTTTTATCTTAAAGAACATGCCCTCCTTCTGTCACTTTTCTTTTACCTTTTGTTACAGTAATTTAATCTCTTAATTAAAAATCACAATTATAATTCTGTTAACAGCTTTTAATTCAACAAGATGAATTTTCATATCAAAGCAACACTTAAACTTTTTGCATTATTTCAGATGTTTAGTACTGATATTAAGTACATCTAACGACAAGCACAAATAACAGGTTAAGCTGTACGTTGGTCTCCATCTATTTAGCAATATTAATTGGATATTTTTATCCACCTTACAAACTACTGACTGACTCGCGGAAAGTAAAAATACCAACTTATTAGTGCAGGAGGTACAAAACAGGATATAAAAATTCTACCTACAGTTGACAAGCAGATAAATTTTTTATTGTACGGACATCCCCCTTTAGCCCAGTCATGCAACCTGGCACACAAGCATATAAAGTCTATATTTTTTTTCATTTAACTGACATCATAAATCTGTTCATTCTATTTCTTTTCCCTTCAACAGCAATTACATATACAAACACTATTTCTGATACCATTTATAGTTATGGTTTAGTAAATTGTCATTTTCTGGGAAGCAATGACTAATAACCTTTTTTCTCCCCTCAAAATCAAATATACATAACAGATTTTTCTATGCTATAATTTTGAAATATTGGACAGATAATGATCAAGGGGGGGAACTCAAAACTCATAAATTGCATTAGAGATTCAGATAAATTCAGAATATCCACTTGTAGATTGATCAAAATCAAGTGATTAGTTTCAGCTTCAGGAGAGGATATGCACATAAAATCTATAGAGGAAAAAGTGTTTTTACATTATGCTTAACTAACTGAGACCTCAATTTTAAAAAAATACTTAAATATGCAAACATAATACCTGTGGAGAAAGAATGTATCAAATTTTTAGAACTTTCTGCTTCCACACTGTGTGACACAAACTACTTCTTAAATTATATGCATGCTATGCACAACAGTAATAATATGAATGCAATTAGAAAAAATGACCCCCCCCCCCGATTTTTAATTTCTTCTACTTTGTATCCGAAAAAACTGTGTGCATATATACATATAATTCATGAATGACCTGTCTTTCACTGAAAAATTTTTAAAGCAAAAACATAATGAATGCTTGATTTTTATAAAATTCCTCTTATGTTCCTCAACTGTTTATAAAATTCTTGTTCCTATATGTTGCTTATTATTTACATAGTTCAGCAATCAAACACAGTTTTATGTATAATTAATTCTATACTTGATGGAGATAAATAAAATGTATATATAAAATAAATGCAAAACCACTTACTTGGTATGGTAGCAATAAGTTGGAGTACATTGTTACTGCACACAGTAGTAGCAGGAACAGTATGTCTTTTTTGTGAGCCTTTAAATACTAAATAATAACTTAGATTCTGTTCTGGAGATTGATTATGTACTTCTGCAATTATTTTTCCACCTCCCTGTAAGTAGAAACAAATATGTTAAAAAAAATTACATAATTCACAAATCAACTAGTTCTTTCTCATTTATGGACTGATAATTTGGTAACCTAGTACATTTTATTGCTTCTCTTTGCTTAAATTTAGCTTTCAAGTTTGATAATAATTCATTTTTAATGCACAAAAACCTAAATACTTTTATTATTGGGTCATCTGAGAAGTTATGCAGTTTTTTTATAACAAATACAAATGTAGCAGTACAAAAACATAGGAAAATGCAATTAATCACTTAAGTACCATTTTGGTTTCTGACTTTTTGCCATCTCCCAGTCAAATGGAAAATTCCCTTTATAAAAAAAAAAAGTCATAAGGTTTATTCATAAAGAAGTTAATACTAAAAGTCTCCAAAGAAATAAATTCCAGGATAGAAATGAAAATCCAAGAGGACAAGGTGTACTGAATATAGGGGTGATACTAAACATCTCAGCCATATGCAAGACGTTCTGCATTCATCAAAACGTGAGACCATGCATTACCATAAAAGAAGACAACACTTCGATCGGCACACTGTGTACTTCCTTTGGAATCTTAGCATACATGGTGCATTCACTTTTGGGAGAAGTCCCCCCCCCTCTTGATGTTATTGTTACCAGCAATGTATGAAAAATAGGCATTCTATAGAATTTCTTTACAATGTACACAACGCTTGGCCTTTTCAGGCAAAGCATTAAATATCCAAATTATTTTAATATTATCTTTTATCTGGCATGATAAAGAATGGCATATGTGATTTAGGCAAAGTATTAAAAAAAATCTTGAAAAGAAGTGATGTAGAACTCGAGCACTAATGCCTTCTTTAACTAAATTCAGTTTACTTTTGCTTTCCACTAACAATGTACCATAGCAATACAGCAACCAATAATCCCGTATTTCATTCTTAGTAGTTGAGTTGGCCACTAACTTCTGGTAAGCACTTTCAATTAGTAAAGCACTGTTTCTGCAACATTGTCTCAAATTTCAGCTAGTTCATCACAGAATCTCATTGCATATCAGCATGCCACGATTCCTTCTCAAACACTACACCTTTCTCTTCCATTCTCATACAGCATGGTTTAGAATCTTTGTTGAACAAATTAAGAATAATGTATTTTGTCATTTCCAAACAAAGACTGAATAAAAAAAATAGTGAAATATTAATCATTTCATACACTGATGTCTAATTTTTGGCATTCTATGCAGTGCCTGCTTTCATACATTACCAGTAGCATTATTAAAGAAGGTATCTTTTTGGCTTACCTCATGATCTTTTTTCTTGGAAGCACCCACTTCTTTAGTACTGAGCTTTTTCAAAAAGCGCTTCTTTATTTCTTTTCAGCAAAATATCACATGTCAAAATTCAAACAAGGATATTCTGCTCTGTTAAAGTATGGAGCATCTATACATTGTAACAGCTTACACACTCATTCTTTTGGAATATTTAATTTTCAGCAACAGTTTCTTTTAATAGGTCCTTATTCATAGAAGATGATCATCCTGAGTGGGCATCATTTTCGAAGCTGAAATTTCCATGCTCAAACTTCCCAAACCACTTTTGAAGTTTGTCATCAAACACAGCACCTTTTCCATACATAATAAAAATTTTAAGAGCAGTTTGACTAGTACTTTTTTTTTTCTCTTTTTTAAAAAATAAAAGTGATGAAAATAAGCTTCTGGGTTTTCCATTCTTTCTGAAGCAAAAATTATGCCATGATACATGCTAGAATTACACAGTGTGATCAGCAAATAGAGTATTTAAACATTTGTTTTGATCAAAGTGACTCCTTATCAGAAGTAACAAAATAATTAGAAAAAAGCATGCTTTGACTTAAAATGTTGCAGAACTTTTCACATGATCCAATATTTGAAATATAAACTTTAATTAATTTTGCTCTGATTTTATATATAAAATATTCTGCATGCTTTAAAACACTTCAATGAAAACAAACATTAGCCAATCAAAGCAGTTTTTTGCTTACTTATTGTGACTTATTTTGTTAGGAATGTACAACAATAATAATACTAATATCAACTGCTGTTACTTCACAACAAATAGCTGATATTGCTTTATAGATCTGGGTTAAATGATGTAGGAAGGCTTATAATTAGTTGTTATTCAAGCCTAAATAACATTTATTACAGATACAGAAAAAATTATTGCATACAGAAGCAAAAAAAATGTTATGCTATTTAAAGAAAAAAAAAATGCCTTACATAAATCAACTAAAAATGTTAAATAATACAAATCATCAGACATTAAGCAAGAAGCCTGATTTTTTTTTAATATTTTGTATTGAGCTCTATAATGATTGTGTTATAATGTTCACTAAGCAGATTTTGATTCTTTAAGCATATTTTAATTAAAAGTACATTTTAACATGCACATTTATGATTGGAATCTTACCAAAGAAATGTTTTTGAAGCAACAACCTTTCCCTAACCCTTTTACACACCCCCAAAAAAACTGGTTTAAGTAATTCTTCTTTGTGTGTTCCACCAGAAATAAATTCTAATAAACAAAATATTAAAAATAACACAAAAAATCATTAAGACAATATATACATAAATACTCCTTATTTATATGTTATATTATAACTCAATTATTTCAGTTCTACTCAGGTGGAACTGATTTTTAAAAAAATTTCAGCAAAAATTTAAATAGAAAAAAATATTCAAATAAAGTAAAAATTTGAACTTTTGTAGGTTAGATTTAGTATAAGCAGATTCATTAATGAAAAAAAAAAATGTGTTAACTAGATGAGGATGTTTTTAAATGAGACCATGTCAATAACAGCCACATAAATTATTTTATATTAGTTATATTTTTTCCCTCAAACTGCATAGTGAAATAACAGAAAATACACAAACAAATTATTGAAGATTTAACTGCAACTGAATTTGGCAAGCATGTGATTAAAAGAAACAAGTTTTAATATTTAGCTTACATAAATTGGAGCTTCTTTTGGCATAACATTCATTGTGCTGAGACATCACAGTCATACCTTAAAAGAATATAATATACATAAAATAAGTATACACATTATGCATGATATAAAGCAGTCTCAAACTCAAATTGCACGCACATAATGCTCAATCTAAAAATAGATGGTGATCCAGATCTTTTTTTTTAACAAAAGCGAAAAAAAAGAAATCTAACTAAATTTTAAATTTCACTTACATTTATTGAAACATAAAAAAAAAAAAAAATAAATAAAAACACAAAGGAAAAATATTCAAATTTATATTTATTTTCAATCTCAATTCTAAAGGTTGGTATTTGTAAGAAATTTTTGGTGGTTACACTTTACAAGTCAAATATATTGACAGCTAAATATTAAATTTTCGGCCAGACATTTATTTCAGATGACTGTACTATAGCGAATTAATCACTAAATGCTTTTAAATAAAAATAAGTATACTTTGAAAACTTAACATGTTTTCAGAAAATCATTAGAAAATAATAACAACCTAGTGCCTTTCTTTTATTTATTAAATGTTTCTTCAACACTAACATCAAAAATATATATGCTTGTATGTAAATAAATATATACTTTACTTCTTACAACTTAATACTTGATGGCATTTTAGTTATGATAAAATTTTCAGACTTGAATAAAATTAATAAAAATTATCTTCATCATAGATTGCAGATGCTCATTGTTCAATCAAAGTTTTTTTCCTTATTAATTTTTAATCTATCAACTTACTAATTTTAATTATACTGCAAAAAATGTCTGTTCATATATATATGTCTGCCTAATAAAGTGCTCATTTTTATTGCAAAATTCTGATCTTTTGAAAAATACAAATTAAAGTTAATCACATCTTCATCTTTAAATCTTTGGAAAATATTTATATCACGCTATATATTAATTAGCCCCTTTGTAGAATTTTGGGTGTGTTATTTAAATTCATTTTTAATGGTGATGAAAATAATGTAAAATCATACTCCAATTCATTAAAAATCTGTATACCTTCCCTCTAATTCTTGTAATAATAATTCTAATTCACCTTTCCTCAAATTCTTGTTGTATTTTTCTTGACTATTCTTCACATTTTTCATCTGAAATAACAGGGCATTATTTAAGATCTAGGAAATTTAGGAATTTCGTTTTCTCTACTTGTGTTTCTCATAATTTAAATTTAACTTCAAGCAAAACAAAAGAGTCAGTACAAAAATACAAGTTTATTCATTTGAGGCTGTTTGTTGAAATTATTTAAACAGCTGCTTAAATCAACAAGAAATTCTAAATCACAGTCACGGTGCCTGGCATTAGATGCATACTGCCAACACCCTAACCTATTCATTCCATCTCTTTTTTCCTCAATAGCTGTCATGGGCATATGGGTAATAATGTTACTGCATCTTTTCATTCAGTGATGAAAGCTTTAAATTTATAGCTTTAAGTTATATATGGAAATATATAATGTCAAATACCTATGGTCCTTCTATCCATTTGCCATGCTTGGCCATCTAAGAAATAACTAATAAAAAGCAGTAGATCGTATACTACATCAATACTCAATGTTTCTTGTCACTCAAAAATAACACTAAATAAATCTGAATTATTGTTATGTTGCTTCTGCTAATACAACTACCTTTTATCACCCCCTTCTGATTTTCAAATCACTGAATTGAATTTAGATTTGAATATGAGCACTGCATAGTGACTATTCTAGTAACATTTATAAATGCACTACAAAACATATATGAACTAACTCAGGAAATTTCCTAGGCTGATGTAGTCAATCATCTAAGAACTGCATGGAACAGTTTGGATGGAAATATAATAAAAGAAATGTTTCTAAAAAATTGCATTAGTTGTAGGCATTCTGATGATGAAAGAACGGCTAAAGATGAAAATGAAACAGAATGAGCACAAACTTTAGTAATGACAAAGGTAATTAAGCTGATCCTGATTGGTAGAAAAGCATTCATGACATCCATGTAAATGGCTCAGCTTTTAAAAAAGAGGAGTGAAATTCTAGATTCTGATAGTTCTCTTTAATAAAGCCATTTCAATAAATAAATGAAAACTATTTGATTATTATTTAGAAAAATAATTGATTTTTGAAAAAGAAAATCAAACAGGTAAATTTTAACATACATTAATAAACAAGAAATATTTTTAGTATCATACAAAAACTTATAAATTTGCATAAGTTTTAATTCTTAATTAAACAATTTATTTATAATTTAGGAAACAATAAAAAAAGTTATTTTATTAATCAAGTTCATATTCTTTTATCAAAGGACTGATTGACCAAAGGAGGAAATCAAGTATGCAGATTATATAGTATAAATAAAGAGTAAACTTGAAATTACTAAAATTTTTAACATAAACATTTTTTTTTTTTTTCCTTCTTCTTTACATGCAGACCTGTTTCTCATATTTTAAAACATTATTCCCCTAACAGTATTTTAAAATACTGAGCATAAAATAAATATATCTTTATAATGAGTGTTATTAAAATAACTTTAAAAAACAAAGATACTGCACTGCTCTATAATTTTGTTTTTTTATAAAATGACAGATCATGCTAATTACTGAAAAGTAATCAAGGGAAAAATAATTAATTGATGCACCCTACTGTGCAAGTTTTTTCAATGGAAGACTTAGAAAATTATGACGTATGCTAGTATGCTTTTAGTAACCAAATAATCCAATACAAGTCAATCCTAAAGCAAAGCATTTTATTTGTTTATCATTCAAGTAAATACTGAGAGATTTAAACATATTATAACAAAAAATTGTAAAAACTTCTGCACAAACAGAAATAATTAAAATAGAATAACAATCAATTTATTGATTTGATAAAAATGTTTCCTAAACTCTAAGCATATAAAAATAAAACCATACAACAAATTCAAGCTTAAACTAATTTACTTCACTGATCACTTAATGATCAAGCATTTTAATGAAAATGCGTGTTACCTGGTATCCCACATAAAGCTTAGGTTACCTACCAGGGATGCTAGTTGACATTTTATATGAAATGATGACATTTTAATACATAAAGTGAAAGTGGTTTGGCTTTTGTCCCAAAAAAGGTCATACTATGAATTTAAATCAACACCTTACTTAGTTCAGTAGCAACTATGCTTAAAAACAATAAACACACCTTTTTTCCCATATTTAGAAAATATCTTCTGTTAATGTAAAATGCTGACTGGCAAAATGCTGGCTGTCAATAGCTTAAATTTTTAATTTAGAATGCCAATTGGCATACACCATCATTAAATTATTAATATAATCATTTTGCATGAGTTTATTTACAAACACAATATCTATCTTGTACTCTAATCAAAATACCTTTGCATGCAGATGCATTGGTTTGAATAACTACCTACAATTTTCCTCAAAAACAAATATCATTACTACTTTAAAAGTGATATACTCCAGTTTTTTTTTTTTTTTTAAATTAGTCAGTATTCATCAAGTACTATAACTATGTGAAATGTTAAAAAAAAAGTGCAACATAAAATTAATATTACCAAATAGTTGTATAAAAGTTAAATTACATCCACTTGCTAAGGTTATTTAAAATTTCAATTTTCTGAACGTGCGTATAATCTGTATATTTATTTGACTTAACTTATTCCATTATTTGCCTCTATAATTTCTCAAAAAACATAAACCATTCGAAACTGCAGTGAACACTTGCAATTTATTCAAAAGTTATGCTTGCAATGACTAAAATGTCAGGAAACAAGAATTATTGCAGCTTTCTCAAGTTAACTACAAATATGAAATATGTTTCCAAAAATGGTTAACATAAAATTATTCTTTTCACCACTGAAAGTTTAAAAAGGAAAAATAAGCCATATATCAGTTTCTTAATTTTTATGTTATTTAATCATAATGAAAACTTTCATTTGTTAAAATTATTAAATCAATAACACTGAGTTGAAACATTTATAAATTGCTTTTTACACAGCTTATTCTAAAAGCCTACAAAAAATATTTCCTTATAATTAATTATACTCTTTGAAAGAATACTACAAATGCAATCAAATGTGTGATTTGCTATATATATATAAAAAAATACTTGTTTGAAAAAGTTGGAAAAGTTTTGTTTAGTAATTTTATTCAACCAACATTATTCATTCATTGAAATTATACTTCACAAAAAGCTTGTGGTGTTTTAAAACAGAAAGGATGTTTACAGAAAATTTTTTGGTAATCATAATACTTGGGATATAATTTTAAAAAAGTTAAAAACTAAATTAAGAATCATTACTCACAATTAAAAACACATATGTTGGCTATAAAAAGATCACTTAACCTAAATTAATGTAACAGTAACTGCATCAAAATTTGAAAGATTTCTAAATAATATGCATGACTATATGATATGATAATGCAGGATCTAGTTTTAACTTTTGGATATATTATCTACAGAAATTTTTTGTAAGTGTACAAAAATTTTAGTACTGAATTTTTTTTTTTCACAATTAAAGAAGATAATCAGTAATCGTAAAAAATATTCAGGAATGTTGAAAAAAGAAATAAATGATATTATGGTTTAATTTTTACAATACTCTACGCTAGATTACGATTTTTAAAAATGCTGTCGCATTGTTTACATACATTTTCCTTTTCATAATCGCATCACATAATTTTTTTTGGAGGAAAAAAATTATATTATTTACCAGCATATGATTCAAAAATGTTCTGTCATATTTCTAATAAATGTTCCTATTTCTACAAAGGCGCCAAAAAATAAATATGCTATTAATGCCCTCCAGAAAAAGGTAACTGATCAATTCAAACAACCTGCAGAATTCACCTGACCGCACATTCACCATCAAACACAAGCCATAGTGGAATGTGAAATCAACCAATGGGAAACACCTGTTATGTTGAAGTTTACTGTTTACCTCGACGTCATACACCTTCACTTCTGATTGGTTAAACTTTCGGCTTAAAGTGAAGTTTAAAAACTTTTTAAGTTTACAAGTTCTAAGACATTATTGAAACATATATAGTCATAATCTGCTGTAAAGTATCTAAAACAAGTAAATACGTTTTTCCAACCTCGCTTGTTGAAACGAAATTTCAGAATTCGTGGATATAAAGTACTAGCTAGAAAATAAAATTTAGAAACTAATGACCACTCGGATATTCAGTTTTTATATAAGCACCAGCTACTTAATAACTCTTTCCTGTAACCTCAGATAGTCGGAGTGTGAGAAATGACGAAAGTGATGAGTTCTTATTTGCACTGTCAAGGCACTCTCTTATTTGCACTCTCTTTTTAATATCATTCCTGAAATTAAAAAAAAAAAAAAAGAAGAAGAAGAAACGAAGCATTTCCTCAACTGTCGAAGGGGGTGTCCAGGAGGGATTACTATATGTATATATTTACAGCGCTCGTGTGATAAGCAAAATTCAGTAAAGCTAATGCATTCATTTAGTAGAAAATAAAATACGCTGTGTACACAAATAAAGATTTAAGGAAATATGTGCAAGTCCACAGAAGAGAGTTGGGCGACTCCTAGAAAATGAAACAACAATAACTAGAGGTTTAATTGTCTTGCTTAATTTTGTGAGCTACAGATGGTCTAATGTGGAAAGCTTCCATAGTTTCTGCAAAGCTCACAACAGAGCACCTTGTTCCACTGAGGAAGAAGTTTTGGTTAATTTTGTTGAAATATTCACTTAAGGTTTCAATTTTCATGTCACGATGAAGCGAATTTTCCTATGAAGAGAATTGTCGCCGTAATCATTCTCAAGAACTTATTTGGATAGCTTGCAGTTGGTTAATATCATTAACGGTAGCATTTGTTCATGCAGGAAAGGCGAAATCGGCCTAATGATGGAAGCATAGATTTTCCTTTCCCAGGTAACGTTTATGACCGAAATACTTGAAAGGATCTGGTTAAGCTCGAAGGTAATATTGAGGGACTTGCCTTTTATCTGCTCAACATGATTTTTCCAGATGAAGGAGCTATTCAGGATGAATCCAAGGTATTTCACTCTGGTGACAAGAGGAACTTAGGAGCTGAAAAGATTGACGTTGGTTTCTGATTTTTTTTTTTTTTTTTTTTTTTTCAAGTTTCTTGAACTTTTTTTAAGCCTTCAGATTTATTCGCGTTGATTTAGGTCTTCCACCTGCAACACCAATTTATAATATTTTACAGTGTCTTAACAGCATGATTTGATTTTCTAAATTTTGCCAGAACTGCGTGCAATCCGTATAGCATGCAAGTAGCATGTTGTGATTATCAGTAAACTTGAGAAAAGTCGTTTACAAAAATTATATAAAGAATAGGACATAGTACTGATCCCTTTGAGACCCCTGGCGTTATTCTGAATACGTCCGGAGATTTTATCTCCTTGTCTAACCACAAAAGACTTATCTTCCAGGAAGGATTTAATTAGCGAAATGATTTCACAGAGAAGATTTATTTTGATTAACTTGTAAATAAGCTCCTCTTTCCAAACACGGTTAATAGCTTTGGCCACGTTAACAGGAGGATAGCCATACTTAGCTTGTTGTAAATAGCCGATCCAATATATTCATATGTTCTTACAAGCTATTTCGTGGTAGATAAATCCTTTCGAAATCCATGCTGAACATTCGAGATATTTTGTAGATAGAGCTTCATTCTGTTGTTAACAATTTTCTCCAGCAGCTTTACAAGCATAGATAGGAGACTATTTGGTCTCTAGCTGCAGAGAGAATCAGGCTGCGTCAGAGGCTTTACGATTAGGAAAACTGATGTTTGTTTCCAGGCGTCCGGAAAATACGAATTCCACAGACATGCACTAAAAGTATAGTTGAAGGAAGCTATATTAGGCCGATTTTTCAGCATTTTGTTTACAATTCAATCTAAGCTGGGGGTTTTCTGGACGAAGGTCTTGATGACATAACTTGTTTCAGCAGGAGATGTGAATTTAATGACATTCCTGGGGCACGGTGAGTTGAGCCAAATATTTACGGAAACTATAATTTCTTCATTCGTATCCTTGTTGCGCGGGAATTCGTTAGGCCGAAACTGCGTTTTAAGAAATTCAGCGAAAACATCAGCTCTCTCCTGGTTAGTACAGGCCATATGTCGCTTCTTGCTGGCTATACTGTCTGTTCGTTTAGTTTAAGTATATTGAACTGTGTTGAACGTATTTTTAGGAGCTCCTAAAGCGAGAAAATTGAATTGCGTAAATAGGTGTCCGAGGTAAAAAATTTTTATATCATTTTAAAGCCATAAAAAAGATACATAAGAGGATATAATCTTTAGGAATGTATCGCCAAGGACTGAAAAGATATTGTCATTCAACGCTATCAAGTTCGTAAGTTATTAGAATTTAACAATACTCAATGTTAAACTAATATTACAACGACTGGAGCCAAATCTTTTAAATAGCTTATATCTCTGTGAAACTCAACATATTTTATCAAGAATTACAGTACCAGATAGAGCAAAATTTTCTCTTTCAGGAATATATAATTTTTATATAAATTTATGTGATATTTTTTTTAATATATTGACTAAAATATTGAATTTTCACTAATATTTATTTTTAAAATTCATAGAAAACCATTGTTGACATATCAGTTTTAATATAGGTCATGCAATAATTCCTTTATAAGATTTGTATTACATATAATTGAAAAACTGTTTATTAAAATATTTCACGTTATCTTTCTTATAATAATAGTATAACATAACAAGGATATAGAGAACTCAACTTTACTCATGTAATTTAATGTAACATAAACATTAAAAATAAATATTAATTTAATATCTTTAATCCTTATATTTTTTTTAAAACAACTGAAACTTTCGGTATTTAATATCAACTGTTTATTTAATATGTATTAATATAAAGTAGATACATAAATAGTCTTATTAAATAAATAAAAAATAATAATAATAAAATATTTCTCAACTGAACTCAGAAAGTATCTAAAATAAAATAAATAAGATTTACATTGATTTACTGCTTGCAACCCTATAATGCAAAACTCTCGATCTTCAACTGTAACATCACTTGTTACCTATCATTCGACTGATCCAACGGCTGTTCTTCAGCGTTTTAAACTTTCAAGGATTTGCAATACTGATGCTAATTCACAAAGCACAATTAATAATACTGATAATATGGATAAAAAAATTCAAAACGCTTATGAGGAATGCATTTCATTACTACAAACTCGAATATCTGGCAAAAGAGGTGTCTCTAAGAACTTATATCTAAAAATCAAATCTTTGATTGATTTTATAAAAGATTCAAAACTTGCTGCAAAAAACTCGCATTCATCTTCACTCTCATGTGAAGATAATGAAATAAAGAGTTCTAATGATATTAGTCATCATATCAATTCTAAGAGATATCTGGATTCAGCAACTTCACCTATTAGCTGTCAAACAAGAAAATTCTATGATGACGCAGCTCTCTCACCAATCAGTTCTAACTATGAATACGAAACCAGTTTACAAAATATATCTTTAAACAAGCAAAGGATTTCAACATCAAACCAAAGTCCTTCTCTGCAACAAAATTATATCCAGGATGCAAACAATAATCCACCCATAGGTTACAACGACATGCAGATTTTACCACGAAATGAAGAAAGTTTTATTTATCATCAAAATATCAATAGCGCATTTATATCTCCTATATCTCATGACCAAATACAAAAGGAAAGATCCAGATCTTATGCAGAAGTAACCAAAATAAAATAAAGATCCAACTAAAAGACAGATTCCAACACTTCTTATTACCCCAAAGGCACAAATGACAAATCGTGAATTGCAAGCTAATTTAGAAAAATACAATCCAATTTCCAAAATTGCTATAAAAATTCAAAAGATTTCACATATCCGAAAAGGTAGTATTGCGGTTTCATGCAATACCGAAGAAGAAATACTCAAGATTAATTCCATATTGGAAAGCAATAAAAATAACAATAATTTAGTTTCTTTCAAAATACCTTCCAAAAGAAAACCTAAATGCACAATAAACAATCTACCTAACAATACTGGTCCAGAAGATGTTACTGAAATAATTAAACAAGCAGCTGATTTGGATGAAAATGAATTCATACCCTCTTTTAAAACAAATGACAAAAGAAACAATGGAATAAAATGGATAATTGAATGCTCTCCTCTAGCTTTCAAAATACTAATGAAACAAAATATTATTAACTACGGCTGGAAAAGTCGCAAAATCGCAGAATTTTTTGGATTACGTCGATGTTTCATATGTCAAGACTTTTCACATTCGGTCAGAAATTGCAAACATAGAAACTATTGTGCATTCTGTGGCGGCAATCACAATATTAAAGAATGCCAAGCAGAAAGTCCCTTATGTATAAACTGCAAATTACATAATGATGCCAATAATACGGACCTTAATACATATCACCCTGCTTATGCACCAAACTGCCCAATATGTCAAAAAGAAGTGACCAAAGTAATTACAAGAACCGAATATGACATCTTGGATTAATTTTATCCTTACCATTAACAAGTTAATACCAATTCTTCACTTTAATTCACCAAAACAATATAATTAATATATCACCAATACTAATTAAAAATAAAGAATTTGACTCTCAAAATACAACAAATTAACCTTCAAAGAGCCCACTCTTCTATGACAAAACTGGTCCAAATTTCAACCGAGCTCAATCCAGACATAATCCTCATACAAGAACCCTACTGTGTCAATGGAAAAGTTAGCGGAATACCAAACTGTTGGAATTGTATTCAATATGAATCTTCAGATAAATCTTCAGTCAGATCAGTTATCATCATCAATAACAAATACTTATCTCCAATAATAATCTTTACAAGTAAAGATATAGT